GGCGCACCTTGGAGGGGGGCGCTCTGCACTGCATTTCACTAGTGGCGCCCGCGCCGAAGCCACCACTGCGTGCGTCCAGTGTCAGAATCAGATAATTGAGCGGGTGGATTTGACCTGCGCCAGCAAGGCCCTTCCCCGGACATCGGGCCGCCCCCCATCATCGCTCACAGACAAACTGCAATGTGGCAGCAGAGAGACGCCTGAGGGGCATCCTCTCCAGTGCTTTTCAAGCAACGCGGCTGCCTCTCCAGTCGCAGAGCCATCTATCGAAGAAGCCAGAACCTGGTTGTTCAGGCCGGCCCTCTGCACGACCTCCGCGGCAGCAGCGCGGCTGCCGCGCGCCCCTGAGTCAGGGGCGCGCGGGAAGCTGCAGGCGCGCGATTCGCGTTAACCTGACTCAGGACACGATACCTCATGGCCAGAAGTCCCGCGGCGTAGTAGCACGGAGCTCGGCAGTTCCATTGCGCGAGCACCGCTGGGCCAGCGCAGAACGGCTGGCAACCCCGAGCAATCGGCGGCAACCGTCGAAAAGCACCCCTGCGCCACTCCGACCAGCTCCGCCACGACCATGCAGCGCTAAGGACTGGTCGACGGGATGAACTACCTCTGTTGCCGCGGGCTTGCCGGCCCAGGAGCAGCGCGCCCGATTCGCGCTCCATGCACAGAGCAGCTGCCCGTCCAGGTGAGTTGAGAACGCGTCGCAAAGCTCCCCGCGCGCCCCTGCCCCCACTCCGCCGCCCACGAAATGTCCAGCCCGACGCGGATCACGCCCATCCTCCTCCAACGAACCAGTACGTGGAACCAGCGCGTCTCTGCCAAAACGGTTGCGAGTGGCGCTTTCTGAATAGGCCCCGCAACGCGTTGACGACCAAACTGCATGCGCCACAATGCCTTCCCGAACCCGCTGTTCTCTGCGCCTGTGCGGGAGGCTCCGCCTTCGCGAGGTCGAATGCCATCTCGAGTCTCTCCAGTCTCGCGGCCATTCCCTGTGAATCGGCCACCGCCCTCCTGACGATGGCACCGAACTGCTGATTGAACGACGACGCGAGATTCTTGAGGAGGGGGTCGGCCAACATCCCCACTGTGCCTGGCAGCGTTCTCTCAACGGCCGCTGCCGCTGCATTTCTTCAACACCTGCTATGCACTGCGCCCGCAGGTCATCGAATGCATCGGCGTGAACACGAGGGCCAATCACGGCAGCGTGGATTTCGCCCACGGATCGCCCACTGTCGAGTTGTTATAGTTGCCGGCCTGCCTCGAAGGGGTACCTGATTCAATCGCGTTCGTTGGTTCGATCTCGACGGGCCCCTGGACTAACGCTTCCTTTCCACCGCGCCATCGACCTGCGATGCGCTGGCGAACCGCCTCAGCGAGCGGCCATGGCGCTGGCGACCCGCCTCGGAGAGAGGCGCGAAGAGATGGGAAAAGCCGCGGGCCCGCAATGGCAAATTCGCCGGCCCAACGGGCCAGAGGCGTGCTAAGATCTCCGGTAACTTGTTAACAATATTTCTAGTTCGCGCGCGCGGAGCGGCCCCTGGGGGCCCCCGGACGAAAAGTACCCCGGCAAGGTCCCGAGAGAAGCCCGGGAGAAGCCACCAGACCACTCCAGGGGAGGGTATTTTTCGGCACCCCTCACGAGGATCGTGGCCTCCGAGGGGGGAGCCGCAAGCGACTACCCCCAAGAGCCCCCCAAGAGGCCCTGGGGGCCTCCAAAACGCCGCCAAGGAGCCCCAAGAGACCCCCAAGAGGTCCCCGAGAGGCCCCCAAGAGGCCCTAAAGAGGGCTCCAGGGCCGGCGGCATGAGCGAAGCGATTAAATAATATTGGGCCAACCAAGCGATGACGCCCCTCCCCTTCGCACCCCCTCTCCTGCTCAGCTACCACCCGCCCATGAACTCCCTCACTTGGGCGTTTTTCGTCGTTCCCCCTCGCCCAGCGGTTGAACTTCACTTCTCGGACTCCTCGGTCTGTCTTCCTCCCTTCCAACAGCCGCGAACACACCTGCCCCAGCCCGCTCACGATCCACTCGTTCACGGGTTAAGTCGGCACCCTTCCCACCACGATGAGCAGCCGGAGCATGGCCATGAGTCCTCGGAATCCGAGGCGTAGCAAGTTGCTCGAGACTCATCGCTTCGTCGGAGAGTTCATGATATGCCTTGGACGCGTTCCCAACTTGGTCATATTTCTTTATGTGTTCTCCCCCTCTCTCTCCCACTCTTTCTATCAACATTTCACTCATGCCCAAAGGGGTCCACGGAACTCACCAGCAGGCCTAGAAGGGCGCTCTAGAGCGCTCTACAAGAACCTTGGCGGCCCTGCAAATATAATAAAGATGCCGCTCACCGGCCCCCCTCGCTGTGGAGGTCGCCCGGGGCTGGGGCAGTGCGTGCTACATTGTGCGCGTGATAGGCCAACGCAACAAACTCGACGATCTCTGGGGTCGGAAAACAATCGGGGCCGAGACGCGCGGATGGGCGTGCTGGGGGCAAAACGGGGTGGCACAGAAGCCCCCGCAGCACAGGACACTCTACGTAATGATCCATCGCATCCTCGCATTCAAAGCACACAAACACGCATGGCTTCTGATGCGTGGAGTGGGGCCTGCGGCTGGAGCGCCAGCCGCCAACTACAGTTTTGATGACAGCGCTTTGCCAGCTGAGAGGGCTCCCGTTTCGGACCAGGTCCCTGAGAGCCCCCCAGGCGGGCCTCGAAAAAGGAAGGCCCCAGGAGGCCATTCGGAGGGGGAGGGCGAGGTGGAGGACGTCGGGGGGGAGAGATAGAGAGAGAGAGAGAGAGAGAGAGAGAGAGAAAGAGAGAGAGAGAGAGAGAGAAAGAGAGAGAGAGAGAGGCGAAAGGAGGAGGAGAGGACCCTCTGCGCGCGCACGCGCCCATGCTCCTGCGCCTCCTCCGCAACTGCAAGCGCGGCGAGGGCGGCGCGGGCAGCGGCAGCCTGCGCGGGCGCCTTGAAGGCGCCGATCGACGCCTCATGCATGTAGCTCACGATGGGGCGGCTCCCCCAAAAGTGGGGCGATATCCAGCCCCTTCCGGCCTCCAGGAGGCCGCCGTGCTCCTCGCAGGCCCTGGGACCCTCCAGCAGCACCTGCCAACTGATGATGGTGTACTTCGATGTCCGCACTCTCGGGGCCATACTCGCCACCAAGATACTGCCAGGCTGGAGCGCAGACCAACGCCCAATGCCCAGCACGCCCGCTCTCGTCGTCGCTTGGGGGGGAAGGTGCCAAACCTTATGCCACGCCCAGGCCTCCCTCTTGCCCAATACCTGAGGCACGGGCAAGAGCTGCATCAGGTAGCTCAGCACCGTCAGCACCCGGGTGTTGTAGAGCACCGTCGAGATGTGGACGGCCGCCCCAGCAGCGGCCAGGGTCCAAACACGATGGATCCACTTGGCGCCCGCCTCCTGCCACATGTCCAGCACCGTGGCTCCTGGTCCCATGTTGACGCCCAGGTACTTCGCGAACGGGACCCAAGCCATCTCCTCCCAACCTGGCACGCGCACGGCGAGCCAGGCCGTGACGGAGGCCGCAATCTCCACCGAGACGGCCGCGTGCACAGGGATCGCCTTGCACTTGGGCAGTTTCAAGATCAGGCCCGCCAGCGGCTCCGCCGCCAACAAGACCTTCTTAACACGAGTCATCAGGCGCCTGTCCTGGAGGACCATGCCGACGTCGTCGGCGCAGGCGCCAACAGCCGACTGGTTCCAGGGCGCCAGGATCTCCTCCAGGTGGGCCACGAAGGGGTTCATGGCCACCGCCGACAAGCTCCCCGAGAGCGGGCAACCCTGCGCAATGCCAGCGCTGATGCGCATGAAGCGGCACAGCGCGCCCTCGATCGCCACGAACGCCATGGGCATCCAGTACACGCTCATGATCAGCTGGTAGAGGCCTCCCTGGAATCCCGGCCGCTGCAGCACCGTCCGAAGGAACGAGACGGCCAGCGACGGGAAGGCGCTCCCGAAATCAAACAGGACCAGCAGCGGCAGGCGCTGGCACACCGTGGAGGAGAATCCCACTCGTCGGGCCGCGGTGTCGAGGAGGCTGATGTTGTTCAGGAAGTTCCTTCCTGGCAAGAACCCCCGTTGCGATGCAGGGGGGCTCTTCTCGATGATAAACTTGATACGATGGTTGGCGCTGGCCGCCAGGAGCGTCACGCCCGACCTTGAGGGCCCTCAAGAACACGGACATGGAGCTCTTGGCGGCCCTCAGGAACACGGACGTGGAACTCTATCAATATATATATATATATATATATACACACACGTATGTGGTGTTGTTTTCCCTGTGTCTCCTTGTTTGTTCTCTCTCTCTCTCTCTCTCTCTTTCTCTCTCTCATTGGGCACTAAACCGACGGAAAATCTGGAAATGCTTCAACTGACCCTCGACGGGATGTGCCATGGGAAAACGGAGCCCATGACCCCACCAGGCTCGATGTGAGGATCGGGTCCAAAGGGACAGTGGCCACGTCTCGGATCAGAGGTGCGCACTCCACTCCCCCAGAAACCTGGCATTTTGAGCCCACGTGGCTACGGCGGGGAGAAGCCACGCGGACGGGGAGGACAACGACGCGGGCGACGACGGCTACGGCAATGGCACCGACGTCGACGAGGACGACGGCGGCTGCGACGAGGAACTGGGATGAGCGCCACTGCCAGGAGAGAAGGGCCGACAGAAGCAGGAAAACGAAGCACGACGCCCGCCGAGGGGCAAGAGAAGCCCGCGCGAGGAGATACACAAACAATGTTCCTGTCCGCGGCTGGGCAGAGCCACCGCGCTTGCGAGGCAGCGGAACGGAACGGGAAGCACAAGCACACGCGAGAGAGAGAGAGAGAAAGAGAGAGAGCGAGACAGGGCGCGAGACAGGAGAGCCAGCGGCGGTCATGGGAGGCGGCAGCGCGGGCCCGAGGAAGGGGACGGAGGAGGACGACGACCGCCGACGGGGGGGAGGACGCCGCAGGCGACGGCGGCGGCGGCGCGCGGGAGGAGCCAACATGGCCGCCGCGAGCGCCGCGACCAGGAGGGCCCCGAGGCCTCCACGCCGCCGCGCGCCCCCCCGTTCCGCTCCAGCCCCAGTGGGATGATCTCCTCCTCCTCCTCCTCCTCCTCCTCCTCCTCCTCCCCCGCCTCCTCCTCCTCCTCCTTCTCCTCCTCCTCCTCCTCCTCCTCCTCTTCCTCCTCCTCCTCCATCTCCTCCACCCCCCCTCTGGAGGTGCTTCTGCTTACCGTGTCGCGGCGGCGGCCCCAGCGACATGCTGTGCCCTGTAGGGGGGCAATGTGTCGCCCCCCACGGGGAGGGGCTTTTGCTCAGCGTGTCGTGGCGATGGCCCCGGCGACATGCTGTGCCCTGCAAGCGGCCCCGCTCCAGGAAGCGTGGGGCTGGCAAGGGGCTCGGGACGCTGGGCTTGGGGACCTGGGGCGTGAAAAGCGCGTCGCGCCCACTCGCGGTGGGCCAGATGCGGCGGACCGACACGGCAAGCCAAAGTTCCTGGTCGTATGCACCAAGTCGTCAGGTCGTCCAAGAAGCTCGGTGTGTACACGCCCCGTGTACAAGCGTTTGCACACCGAGCGCCTGTTTTGAATTTTCCAGCCCCGTGGCCGACCAGACGGCGTGGTGTACAAAGTGAAGCCCCTCCGGCCCCCCCCGCGCCCCCGCCCCCCAGGAAACGGCGTTTTGACTTAAGAGGTGCACTGCAGTTGAATCGTGGCGACGATTCTTCGAGGATTCTTCGAGAGGAGCAGTGTGAGGAACGAACAACACACACACACACTCACACACATATACACATACCCATCGGGGGGACGGAGAGCGCTATGGGTGCGTGTGGTCGGATGGGGATCCCCGATCGGACGAGAGCCTTCCCTGGGGTTCGACAGCCCGCACCCCTACCAATAGTCAGTCCTCCCCGCTCCGACCCCCCTATAGGTCTGGGTGCGAGGGAGCCCGTCAGGAGGACGGGCGCTATTTGGGAGCACGAAGAGGCTGCCCGACGCGGCAAACCCCCCTCCGCAGCAGGGTCTGGCGCCCCTTCCGCCGCCGCACCGAAACGGCCGATGACGAGCGGGGCACTGAAAGCACAGCCAACCCGTATCATAAGGATGAGCGTCAAGGATGCAAGGGCCTTGGAGGCCCATGTGAACGTTCTTCGAACGAGGTTGGCCAGCGACCCTAGGGGAAGGTTGCCCATCCTTACTATGCATGTTGACTGTATTGCCGCGCGGGCGAGTGGGCCTGCATGCTGAGGCCCACTGCCACGCTATAAGCTCTGCTACAGAGCCCCAGACTGGCACGCGACAGGCAGGAAGCACTGCGCCCTAGAGCCAATGCGCCCTGTAGGTGTGGCTTCGCGTTTGTGAAGCAAATGGGCCTGCCCCTCTGGAAGGACTGGGCGTCCCTTCCGCAGGGTGGCGTGCACCCTGGGGCTCGAGCAACGCGAAAAGGCGAAGACGCTCGGGGCAGGGAAGGGACATGCATCATCCTCGGCCGCGTGACCAGCACCTGTAAGCCTGCCTCAGCCCGAGCCGAGGGGTCGAGCGGGAACTCGTGGCTGCGGTCTGAAGGACATCAGCCTCAGCCTCGTCCTCCGTTTCGAGTCGTCCACTGTTCGTCCTCCTCGGCTGCGTATGCCCGAGCGAGCACACCTGCCCCGACGACTACCATACTCCATAGCGCTCTGCAAACACACTTCAAAAGGACTGGCCAAGCCAGTGTGCATATGAAAAACGGTTCCGCGTGGCAGAAGGCCGGCAATTGTTCATAGTTTACAGTGCGTAAACAGTGAAGGGACGCTAATCGCGGCACGCCCGATTGAAAAACACGTGTGGCGGTGATCTTGCATGGGGAGGAGGGGAGAGGAGCGGGAGGAGGAATGAAGGAGGGCGAAAGGAGAAGAAGACAAACAGGAAGCAAGGGAGGGTAGAGATTGACAGCGCTGGGCGACATTCAGATTCATGTGCCTGTGAGCTGTGAGCAGTGCTAATATGCGACCAGCACTAATTCAATATGTAAACCTCCGCAAGCGCCAGCCAGCGCCGAGCGGGACACCTTGCGGCCCGCGCAAGGTAGTGAGGAGAGGGGGAGAAGGGGGAGGGGAAGAAGGAGAAGGGGAAGAAGGAGGATTTTTCTCAACATGACCCCGTGCTGAAGCGTCTCAGGGCGCCGCACGACGAGCACCCAGGGCTGCCGAGACCCATACCTCTACAAGGTAAGGTTTCCTCTCAAAATCAGTCCGAGCTTCCCGACGAGCCTGCCCGTGGCCTCGGGTTCGCCTCGCAAAAAAGGAGAAGGGGCAGGAGGAAGGCCGCTTGCGGGAACCTAGCGCCCGCGTCATTGGCCGTAGCCTGGTGGCCGCCGCCACGAGATGGCGGCACGGCGGGCACCAACTGCCATGGCAGCGGGGGCGACCAGGCCGAGCGGCAGCAAGTCGCCGAAGCCCGCGAACTCGGGCCCGGTGCAGCCCGCAATGCGGTTTGGAAACGTTGGTAATCCC